TGCCCCTGAGAAAACTTTATGACTTTATGAGGAAATGAGCTTCCTTACTTTTTCCTCCAAGCTTTATTTATTTTTTATGAATTGTGATCCTCGTCCTGAAGAAGATGAGTGCTTTTATGAACGGAAATTTTGGCTGTGGCTCAGTTGGTAGAGACCATCATCTCTCAACTGGAAGGTTGAGGGTTCGATCTCCAGCTCCTGCAGCAACACGTCCGATGTGTCCTTGGGCAAGACACTTTACCCCAAATTGGTCCCGCTGCTTCAACAGTGGTGTATGCATGTATATGAATGTGTATGAAGGTGTATGAATGGGATTATTTACTTCTTATGGTCAATTTACATTGTAACCTCTGCCATCAGTGTGTGAATGGGTTGGTGTGACCTGCAGTTTAAAAGCGCTTTGAGTATTCAGAAGACTAGAAAAGCACTTTACAAGTCTACCTGTCGAGATAGACTGAATACGACTCAAAAACTATGATGCAAAGAAATAAGAATTACTCACCAGTTCGCAGCATTACAAGCCCAGCGTTGGACTTGCAGCCCACTGTTTCCCGAAGCTCTCTCCAACGTGTAAAAGGCTCTCCAATATTTCCTCTGGACAGCTTCTTGTTCGGTCACGCTCACTTTTTCTCTTCTAGCTTCATCCGTCACCGTCCTCTTAGACGCACTGTATCAAACAGCACAGAGACGGGCTAAGTAACTTGCCGATTCACGGTTGAAAGTTACATGGTGGAGTATTGAGGCAGCGAGCCGCTGTACGGATGTTGGAGAGACAACATTCTCCCTGTTGAAGCCGATTACGCTGTTAGATGGATTTACAAGCCACTGTTTTAGGGTGGTGGTAGGCCTTTAATTTAAATGAATGGATTTTAGTCCACTTGTGAGCCTTAGATAAAACTGAAATTATCTAAAAAAGGAAAGTCTTCCTCGCTCAATTGGGAAAATTAGAAGGTGATTGTTCATAGAGAGAAGTCGTGGTTAAATTAAAAAGTTGACCTGATGATGGCGCTTACTCTGGGAATCACCAAAGTAATTAGAATTCATTCATCAGGGGAAGGCTGCAGGATGTTTGCACCAAATTTCATGACAATCCATTCTTTAATTTAGGGGACATTGTATTTGAAGTCACAAAAGGCATTATGAGTCTTCTGGGAGCACTCAATGTCATTACGGGATAGAATGGCAATATATTCAAAAGTGGTTGAGATTTTTCAGTCTGGTCTTGGAGGAACTCTGGAGTTTCACTTTACTATCCCCACAGCCATGCTGCTAGTGTGGTTAATACCACAAGCAAACAAAAGTAATACAAGCAAGTCGAATAATCAGCCTCCATATTTTTAAATCTGTAAACATGTGTCCTTGTTGTTCTGTATCTGTGCTGTTGCTTTGACCCCTGTGCTCCCCATCATTAATTGTGTGTACTGTGGGAACACGCTGTAGATGCAAGCATCTGCTGTTGGAAAAGTTTTTTTTCTGTCTATTTTCCACTGACTTCTTCTTGAACCATTTGTGCATTATTTGTGCTCTGGTCAGAGTCTGTGTGTGGGACGAAGGACATCAGGCAGATGGCCTTTTCTTCCCGATGGTCTTGGGAGCGAGGAGGCTATGTAGGTGTGAGCAGGAATGTGCAAGGACAGAAAAGTCTTTGACCGCAAGAGCAAAGGCTTATTAGGTCACCCATCTCTCCCCATGCCTATTTCTCTTTCCCATCCAACCCCCTTCTTATTATTTGCCTCCATCTCTCCCTCTTTCTTGTATTCCTCTCTGCCTGCCCAACTTATCTCTGCTTCCTCTGCCAGGCCAATCAACAGACAAGGTAAATAATGTCAACACTCAGTTACCCTATGTTACGGCTTTAACAACCTGAGTCTGGGACTGGAATCTTAAAAGGCACATCTGTACCATTAAGGTAGGCACTGCACTGCTGAAACTTGCATTTAGCTGCAGCACTCCAGTAATGAGAAAGATATCTGAACTATCTTATTACTTCTCAAGGATATCTTAGCTACCGTCTTGATTCTTTCAGATTAATATCATCGTGTAGACATGGTGTAGCTGCAGAATGCTTTTGATCCTCTGAGGCTTTATCTGCACAGTTCAACTGTCTTTTCTTCTCTTGCTTCTGAAACGCAGTAGCTTGTGCACTATCTTTTATCATGTGCTTTGATTTGAAATTCACATGTTGTCTGGAAAATGTCCTTTTTGTGTTGCTCCGGCTCAAGTTGTCAAATACAAGAAAGGGAGATGGCGTTTTTTTTTTTTTTTTTATGTAATTGTGCAATTTCAAAAAGTGTGAAGCAATGATTTTTTTTTTTTTTGTGAGAAACAGTCACATGGAGGTGAGAGCGAAATGGATATTGTCTGTGTCACTTTGCGGCATGTCAGTGGAATCTCTGCTGGTTTTTTAGTATCTGTGGAAACACGCCGTGCACACGCTTGACTGAGCAACGCCACATCTGATCAAGGCCGTAAATAATTCATGTTTAAAGCTTGACTCATTTTTTTTGAAGCTTAAAGTGGGAGACAGACCAACCTAATGACTTGCACTGTGGGCTCATACATGCCTGCATCATGCAGATGTGTGCCCACAAGACAGAGATTATCGGGAAGTTTGCATAACTTGATTTCCTCCGTACTTTGATGTGTCTTGCAGCAAAAACAAGATACTCCATTAAATATTTAAACGCATTTCTAGATACATGTACCAGGTGCAGTGATGTATGAGTTCATGTCATTCTGTGAAACCCTGCCAGCAGCTATCAGAGAGAGATTTGAAGTGTTAGACGAGAGATTTAAGGTCACCGTTAGGGCTGTCTGTCACTCAATTCCCTCCTCACAAACAAACCTCTCTCAGAGCTATCTTTCACCTGCGGGGTAGTCCCTTAGTGTAAGCAGTGGTGTGGATGATGTTTGTCATTGTTCAACTCCATTTCACATCTCGAAAAGAGCATCAGTTTTTCAAAGCAAACAAACAGTCTGCCTGCTACTGCTCTTAAACTCCATTGTGTCATGTGGCCTCGTTTGCATGCTTGCACGTTTTCCATGTTTAATTCACACACACACAGCAGAGAAAAGAATCGTATCTCTTCACAGATTGTAAAAGGAGATGATTATTTTTCGAGGTATTTCTGCTCAGCTGAGGTTTTGGAAGTGCCAACAGTATGCAGAGCCACACGTGACCTCTGGTTATCAGCTAAGGGGAAGAGACAGTGAGAGCGGAGAGAGTGGGAGAGCTTGTGCAGGGTAGTGCTGATTCATACAACACTCACCTCCACTAACAGGAGCTGTCTGAGGAAGAACAGGAAGGGGAGGAAGAGGAGAGATAACGGGAGACAGGAGGTTTGACAAGATGGTGATGATTCATGTGAAATAGAAAAGCAAAAAAAAAAAAAAAATCTATCCGGCCAATCTGAAGCGAGATGGTCTGTAGAACAAAATAGAGAGGAGGGGAGATGAATAAATATGCAGAGGAAGAGATGGAGGAGGAGTAAGCAAGTTTCTTCTCTCCCTCTCAGTGGGGAGAGGAATGTTCGTTCAAATGTTGACATAGCAACAAAAGTACTTTCTTCCCTGTTCACTTCAGGCTTAATTTGTTTAAGACAAACCACCTGAGCAATTTAGAGAGATGCTTAAGAGAGGTGATGAGTCAGATTAACTTCCTTTTGGCAACAAAATAGAAAGTATTTTTCAAGTGTCTACACTATAATGAGCCTCCACCCTACCGTTGAGATGTCAGCGTTTGGTGAATGTGCATCTGCAACAAATTACAAAGATGCTAAAAAGTTTTCATTTTCAACTTTCTCTATGATATCAAACACATTACAAATATGTATAACACTTGCAGTTTTGGTGACATTTCCAAAAAAGGTCTCACCATGGGAACGTATTTGGACCTCACATGCCTTCAACAGTGTCCTTGATGTGACTCTAACAGGGTGCATAAATAAAAAGGAATCCTATAAATGACCAAATCCCAAAACATGGTAAAGGGCCTGACTTTGATAACTGTAGGCCTGTGTGTGTGTGTGTGTGTGTGTGTGCATGTGTGCATGTGTGTAGATGGATTGCTTACTGCTATTCTAAGGGTTGGAAGATTCGACCTCCAGCAGGGAAGAATTGCAATTGGCCAAACTATTTGATAAGAGCTTTCCCCTAGACACAAGAGAAGCTCCTGGTTGTAGTGTGTGTCTGTGTGTGTGTGTGTTTATGTGTGCTGGAGTATGTGTGTGTCTGTGTGTATGTCTGTTATGAGGGGATGCTAGCTGAGAGGCACAGCTGCAGCTAAGGTAGTGGTTGTGAAATGAACAGAGAGACCGGAAATCTCTGCCAGCCGAGTGACCAAACAAGAGATTCATCATGACCTGTGAACTAAGAAAAGTTCTTTTTCTGCTCTGAATATGTCTTATAATAGTTTGTGTGTGTGTGTGTGTGTGTGTGTGTGTGTGTGTGTGTGTGTGTGTGTGAGAGAGACAGTTGTTGTGTGCTTGTGTGCATTGGCTGCCTCCTTGATGTTTTTCCCCCACGGCTCCATCAAGGGGATTGCACCTCTTCAAATCTCGCCTCAGATGCCCCCTCACTCTAAAAGTCTTTAGAAAAGAGGCTTTTTGTCTGTGTTTGTTTCCTGGAGTTTAATGGAACGGAATAATGGGATAAAACTCACGCTGTCTCTTGATTCAGGTTTCCTAACTCACACACAGGACAAAGTTATTCAATTTGACTGTGATTTGTTGGCTAAATTTCTACGTGTGTGGCTCTGTACATCTCTGAGCCCTGCTACGCTGTGCACATGTATTGTGCTGTCTTTAACAAACTGTGTAATGTCAAGAAAGATATCTGGTGGCGGACATATTGCTTTGTTTATCTAGCAAAAGAGACTTTGTTCATTGTGTGCACAACCTACTTTCCACCTTCCTTGAAGTGATATTTAGTATTTTAAAGGTCAGAATAAGTTTACTGTGACACTCACCTCTCTTTATGTCTCTTTTAATGTGTGTCTGTAGCTGCGGGGCGGCCCTCGTGGCCAGGATGCCACTGTGTGCCGTGCCAGTCCACAGTGGACGGTGAGGGCCAGGAGGAGGGGACAGAGTGCAGGAGACTGAGAGGCGGCCCACACCAGACAGGAGAAATGAACCTCTGCTGGAACGAGATCAAACGAAAGTCACACAACATCCGGTAAGAGATCCATTCATTACCGGGATGACTGTAATCGTCTGAAGCAATGGAGGATTGTGAGCCAATATCTGTATTTTCTGGCTGCATTAGGAGATCCTCAGTTTTATGATAGCAAAATATGTAAACTGCTGATTACATTTCTGCCAACTAGTTGGCAGTCTCATATAAAAAAATAAAAAAAATTAAAAATAAAAATAAATTATCACAATATTTCTTTGACACTTTGTCAAGGTACCGATTTCTTTCAAGGGGAATGTCGAGTAATTTCAGCTTTATTCTGTTTGTTACCAGCTAGCCAACACTGTCCTTTCCTGACACTTTCTGGTTTATTGAGATTTACTGAGTTTTCTTAACATTTGACAAACATTTCTTAATCTACAACTCTACGCATTTCATTATAGATCAGCACATCAAAGACTCACCTTAACCACCTTTCCACCTCAGCCAAATTTGAAATCCCTCCTCATAGCCTTGTTGCTGTTAATTAGCTCGCACAGCTAGGTGTTTGTTCTGCCCTCTGAGTCTGCCTTCTCACCGTAAACAATGGGGCATGAGCGAGAAAGCCAGAGACACCCAAGTCCTTCCAGAGAGGGGGCGTGGTCAGACACAGCTCATTTACATATTTAAAGGTACAGACACAGAAACAGCCTTTTCTGAGCAGGGCTGAAATAGAGGGGTTTATAGGCATGATCAAATACAGGATCAGATTTAGAACAAGAAACTTCACACACATGTTTTGAGGCGCTCTGAGACTTATTTACACTGGTTGAAGAGGAGGAGAATATGTGACCTTTAAGTTTTGTGATAAATCGCAACGTTTGGCTTCACACATTGATTGTGTATCATTTTATAAAGAATCTTAAATGCCAGAAAAGTAAACTTTTATACAAACGCTGAGGTTGATCTAGCAACCCTAATAATCAGGCACAATTAAAACCATCAGCTTATAAAACCATTAAAACCTACTGTATGTTCCATACTCTTTAGAGGATATGTACTGTAGATAGTGATCTGTTTAAAAGTAGTTTGTGACTTGTTTATGGTACTTACTGCAGAGTGATGCAACTGGCAGCAGGTTGGAGTTTTTCCATTCAGGTGTTTCAGGGAGGTTTTCAACCTAATCTAAGTAAATGAATATGTCTGATCATCCTATCAGACAGAGCAGCAATCAGCATGGAGAGAGAGAGAGAGAGCGAGAGAGAGGGTGCAATTACGCTCACTCACTATCGCCGGGCAAGAAACAACAGCTTCATATTTAATTTGATCATCTGTGCTGATGTTACTCAGTTTACCTGTGAAGTTGTCTCTGTTAACAACAGACTGATGCTGTGCTCTTCGAGGTGCATGCATCTATGTCACCTAAACTGAATTTGTCCGCACCACTCTCTTTATTATTAACTTTGATTTGGTCATTTAGGCCACATCTGTGTGAACTTTTGGTGTGCAATTTGTAGTGTCGATTTGAATTCAAAACATGTAATTATGATCTGCTTTTAATACTTTGGGTATTAATTATTATTGGAACATTAAAATTAATTACAGTTGAATTAGTGCAGCAACCCCAACAATGACCGACTTCCAGCTCCCTTCTTTTGTAATTAAATAATATCCACAAACATCACTGTTTGTTACTGTGGCAGTCGTCTTTTTGTGATTGTATCTGATGGTAAATATTATTTACTGTGTTAGTTTCAGTCCAGCAGACCACACAGGGGAATACAGCCCTAATGCTGTCTGACAGCTATATTGTCTCGATATACTGTCGCTTTGTTTTCCATATTCCTCCCATGATTCTTCTCGTTAACATTCAGTTTGTGTTCAGGCTATTAAAAAAGTATTGTCTAATAATGTGCTGTCACACAATAATGCATATTTCAGTACTGCTTCCAGTCAGCTTATTAATTATTGATATAACGTAGGTTAATGCTGCCATTGCACAAGTTACACTCGAGAGGTTTTCTAGTGCAAAACAATTAGAGGCAGTTCATTTTGTTCTTTAATGCTTAATTGGAAACCGTCCAGGCTTGCAGCATCATTTCTGTGTCTGCATGTCAACTGGCATCCTGTTAGGACAATTGGCCCCTTAATTGCTTACTTGACCCTGATGTATCTAGGAAAAAAGGGAGGGGGAGGTTAAGGAAGGATAGTTGTGAAATTGGTTAAGACAGTTTCCCCTGCAGTCTTGTGTAATGAGATGACTATGGATAGCCTGCAGTTGCTGTTTATACCCGAGCTGCACTCTGACTTCATCAGGCTTCAAGAGGAAGGGAGGAATACGGGGAGGAGTCGTTGGAGGGATACAGAGCAGGCGAAAGAACAGACAGCTGGCATTAAATCATCACAGAAGAGATATGGGGTGCAGGGGAGATGGGAGGGGCAGGGAGAAAGACTAGTAGAAGAATGAATGAATGAGGGAGAGCTATAACCTTGAGGGTGAGTGCTGTCCAGAGGAATCGTCTGACTGCGTTCAAAGCCAGCGGCTGGACAAGTGCAGACGACTGGCTTTGTAATGGCCTGTCTGGCACTGATTGACAGGTAGTGGAGGATTTGTTGAAATAAAAGTCACGGCTGCTTGCTGTTATCCTTTATACTGCTGTACATCACACCTCATGAGATACTGTACCGTCACTGGCATTAAATGAAAAATACTCTGTTGTAATGTGGTTCTTATTTCTCAACAAAGGTCTTTAGACACGGTAGTTGCTAATTTATTTGTTGATTTGCAAGTTGAATTCAGTAATCGACCAAACAATACAATCAAATACAAACATAAAATCCCATATCTTGAATGAAAAGCAGCTGAAAGAAGAATCATCTTATACAATCCGCCCTTCTTACACAAGACATTAATTAAAACAACACGTGATTTAAAAAAGATTTACATAAAATAAATTAGCTGCAGGCAAACACAGCCAGTCACAGCCCACGTTTAGGTCTCTGTAGCAATTCATTTTATACTCTTCAAAGCAGAGCACAAACTAAGTTTTGTGTTGCAACAACACAAAACAGAACAAAAACCTAATTAACACATTTCATCATATTTCTTCAACAAAATGGCTTTAATTAATCTTATACTCTCCTGCCCATTATGCTCTGCCAATGAAAGGTATCTGATCCAACCTTAACAACAGGGCCCTAAATCTCTTAACTAGAGTCTTCTCCTTTGTCGCCCCCCGGTGGTGAAATGAACTACCAAACTCCATTTCATCTGCAAAATTCCCTTTGCTGCTTTAAGAAAAAGCTAAAGACCCATCTCTTCCATGAACACCTACAATATGCGCTTTATGATAGTGATGATGATGATCAAGATATTGATGATGATGATGGTGGTTTTATTTGATAATGACGATGACGATATTAAGGATGGTCTTGATGCTGATTAGAACACATTACCTGTGTGTCCAATCACACTTAAAGCTGTTAGTTTGCACTTACCGACATTGATCCCCCTTTAGATCTTTGCTTGTGATGTACTTACTCTCTGATGTAGGTTGCTTTGGATAAAAGTACCCCATAACATGCTCAAAATTAAAAGACTAACATGCCAATGTAAGGTAGGTATATTGTTTGGCATGTTTTTAATTTAATTCTTATTCAGTCTGCCAGCCATATTTTATTTCAAATATGAAGATTGTATCCAGAGAAAGTCTGGATGGCAAAACTAAACATGTTATAGAGTTTTTGTAAAGCACATCCAATCCAAACATTGATTTTGCTGATGTGTCTCTGTCTCAGTACTTAGGCAGCTTACATCAGATTCCAACGTGTCTTTTATAGCGTCACTCACACTGCAACACACAACTGTGACCTCAAATCCAGAGTGATGCAAGTGAATATGTGCCGCTGCATCAGAAGAACCTTCTCTGTCTCTGACTCTGTCTGGTGCAATGGAGGAGTTAACACCGCCACATGACAGCAGATTGTTTTGAAGGGCAAGATCTCATGCTTTTGTGTTGTCAGCAGTGTCATCAGCGTACGTAGATTCCAAAAATTCCCTATCACCACAGCAACCGATGCATAGCCCTTGTTGAAATCTAGACACTCCATTCCAATATTATGTCTTAAAGATATCGGTGTGGACAGTCTGTCATGCCTTCCTGAATTGAGAAATATATTTGATTTACCTGTAGTCTTAGCAAAGCCTAAATTGAGGTTGACCCCATGCCAAGAATTTTTGTTAAGACAAAGCACAACTTGGATATATAATGTAACCTATGTTCTTAGTTTTGAAGGCTTGACCCCCCGGTGGCTCCATTTAAAAAGTAAGGGGAATTACTCAAGGGAAGACTATTCTCTTTTTAAACATAAAAACTTTGAAATGATGGTGATCTGGAGAGAAGCCAGGGTGTGACCAAAGTTTGTAAGGTTCATCCTTAGGAGATCATTAATCTTAGGATATCTAATTAATCTGTCCTCTAGTAATTGAGATATTTCAGTCTGTTCTACTGCACCAAACAAACAAGCATTGCCACCTGTAGAGTCACTCCATTACATGATGCAAAAAATCAACAGATTTACAACATTTTCCGATGATATGAAAGCCCCCTTTAGCTTCCATTACTGAAAACATCCAGAGAATTTAACAAATTAAGATAAGAGGTAAACCGTTCAGAAAATGTGGTCTCTAACAGATGGCAGTGACACAAAGAATTTATCAGTGTGACACAGTGTTGCTCAGCTAATTGGACTGAGCTCTGATAACAGAATGTTAGAGGTTTGATCACTTTTTTGGCATGTTGTATGGAAAGTAGGCAAAATCCCTACACACTCACCAGCTGTGTAGCATGTGTAATTGACTGCTAAACAGCGGTTTGCTGCCATTGGCGAACAATGTCGACATGCTGTTCTTATGGCAGTGTGCTTTGTGTTAAATCAAGTGGCGATTTAATGTCTAACGCAGGATTGAGGTAATAGCCTCTAAACAAGTGGACCACAGCACTATACAGCTCTGTGTTTATCATAATCTCTGCTGAATGATTCTAAATATATACAAAAGAGAC